TATTGAATACTCAGTACATACTAGGCATTGTGCTAAGATGGGGACAGCATAAGCTCAATCCAGTCCCTGCCTACAAGGACTCAGAGAAGTTGAAAGAAGGACAGTCCCCAAGGTGGTAAGTGCTGTGATAAGTTAGGAGAGATGGCGGGGGCTCTGTTCAAACCAGTCTTGGTGGTGGGACAAGGAAGATTCCTGAAAGAAGGGCATGGACATTGAGGTTGGAGGATGGAGTGGATAAGTTGCGAGTGGGCATCCGGACAGAGAGCATGCTGTGCAGAGAGCATGCTGTGCAAGACTGAGAGGCAGGAGGAAGCTAGTGAGTCTGGAGAACCCTGCAATCAGTACGCCAGGGAGATGAAGCCTGAGAAGTAAGCCAGGACAGGATCCTGAGGGATCTTAGGAGGAGGGGAGTGTAAGAACTTTGGACTCTGCCTGGAAGTAGTGAGGTGTTGTAGACCCATCTCAATTCCTAGAGGAAGCACTAGGGTAGTCAGGCAGACCCTGCCTCAGTACCAGTTCAGGATTTGGAGGCTTAGAGAGAAGGATGGAACTCAGTCCTCACCTTCAGGAAGTTCATCGGCCAGGTACGGTGGCTCAAGCCTCTAATCCCAACACTTTGGGAGGCCAAGGCGAGTGGATTGCCTGAGCCTGTGGGTTCGAGATCCACCTGTGCAACTTCCTCGTCTCTACAATAAATCAAAAATTAGCTGGGCTTGGTAGCATGCACCTGTAATTCCAGCTACTTGGAAGGCTGAGGTGGGAGGATCACCTGAGCACAGCAGGTTGATGCTGGGGTGGCCATCAGCATGCTACTGCACTCCAGCCTGGGCGATGGAGTGAGACTCCAACTCAAAAAAAAAAAGTTCATCAATGAGCAGATCACATGGACTGCATCAGGTGACAACCAAGCTGTCGGCATCATCTGTGCCCACGGCACACAGGTGCTAAGGTTCAGAGGCAGGGTAGGAACTGACATGTATTGAGCAGCCACTTACATTTATGTGTGCCAAGATCTGCAGCTAGGCAACGAACATCTGGCATCTCATTCAGTCTTCAAGGCAAGCTACAGGACACTCCCGTTTTACAGATGAAAAGACAAAAGCTCAAGGAGATTAACCCCACAATATCATATAACCAGGAAAGGATAGTACCGGGATGGGGATGCAACCAGTGATCTTTCTCCTCTTCTATGTGGCCTTCTCCCATCCAAGTACTAACCAGGCCCAGCCCTGCTTAGCTTCCGAGATCAGACAAGATTGGGCACGTTCAGGGTGGTATGGCCATAGACTACGTGGCCTTCTCTAAATGTGGGCTAAGGTTGTGGAAAACGGTTCATGGAAGAGGTAAGGTCTGCAGCATTAGAATGCTGTTCCACGTGTTTCAGTGTCATCTCTCAGACTGTGCATTGTGAGCAAAGAGACTGATATTTAGACACTAGGGAGCCATGGGCAACTGCAGATCAGGATGAACAAGTATCTCTGAGAGTTTGCCCCTTAGAACCTTGGAGTCGAATCTCGTGCCTGCTCTGTGAGAGGGATAGCAGCCTTCAAAATAATAAAATCAATGAGTAAAGGGTGTTATCTGCAATCCTTTACAAATCGGAGGATGCTCTGCTGTTGACATGCCATTAATATAAGAGGATGGATTTTCCTAGAGGTGTTTGCTTCGGAGAACTTCCCAAGCCTCTAATGTTAACAGTCAGGGATTACACACAGTGGGGATGCTGCGTATTTAAGTTGGAAATGAGTAACTTACATGCATCTAAGAGGAAAATAGGGCAGGGATCTCTAAGGAAAATAGGGTGGGGACCAAATTATATAATGGGACAGGTGAGCCAAGTCTGGAGAGGTCAGGATGAATGGTATGTCCTCTTGAATACCAAAGATGGTTCTGGGACCTCTGAGAATCCCAGAGCTGAGCAAAATGACTCTCCAAGTTTGCCTGCTGTGGAGCAAGAGATCCTGAGAAATGATATCCCTAGCTGTATTGACTGAGCCTGATTCCCTGGTTCTCAATCAGCAAGTTGCGAAATTCAACCTCTAGAGTCTGGCTTCACCACAATGCTCAGTTGACCTCAGGGAAGGAAACCAGTTTCCACGATGAATAGACACTAATGCCCAATTGGTGAAACACAAACAATTGGGTCAACAGGAAGAGGCAACGCCAGGGAGTTTACAGATTTCCTGAGGTTCTTTATACACAAGTTCCCCTCTTTTGCTGGTAGTTGAGAGAGAGCTGGTAGTTGAGAACCCCACAGACCTGGGCATGGCCCACCCTTAGTGACATTTCAAAGGGGGTTTCCTCCTGCCTTGTTCCTCAACTCTCTTCTTTACCCTGCTACCACCCCTATGACCCATGGTCCCCTCAGCCCCAGCACCCAGTGCCAAGGCCCGTGGGTTGCCTCCTGGGCCGATGCCCTGTGCTTCCAAGTTGGTGCTGCCTCCTCCACCGCCTCCTCCCCCAGATTCATCTCACCCAGCACAGAGGGCCCATGCTCTGGAACCCTCCTCCGTCCGCGAGTCCATCCCTCCTTCGATAGAGATCAGAAGAGGCCTTACCACACCCTTTCCCAGCGCCACCTCCCGCACCCCGTGTGCGTCACTGTGGGGATGGTCTTTGTTGTTCCCCTCTGAAGTCCCTCTCCCAGCAGGGCCCTCCTTTTCCTCTTGCCCTATACATGCCAGAGAAGGGGAACAGATAGTCCTGCTGCCCGGGGCCAGCCCTCCTGGCAGAGGTGATTAAACTGCTCAGCATTCCTATCTCAAGGGGCACAGATGTCCTTTAGCTGTAGCCTCTGTTTCTGGAGATCTCTTGGGTTTTCTGTTTCCCCTCTGCCCCCCTCCTGAGGTCTCTGGGACCTACTGAACTATGCAGCTCACACCCAAGGAGAAGGCACTAAGCAGGACCAGTGGCTCTAAAAGATGGTAAAAATTAACTCATCCCTGCTCAGAGCCATTTGGGATTCTGATCTCAATCTGGGGCCATTTGCAGACAGACCCTGTGCACAGCTCACGCGGTCCCTGTATCCACTGTCTCCCAGACTCACAGCCATCTGCCATCAGGCTTGCCTGCTGACAGGTCTTTCTGGCTTTATTTTAGGCCAATGGCTTTACTTCAATGTCTCCTGGTTGACATTGACCCTTGCTATGTCTTTCCGTGTCTCCAGTACCCACATCTCCAGACCTTCCACCCTGTGGAAGGTGTCCTGCTGCAGCCTGGATTTGCGTTCTGGCTGTGCTTTTGCAAGTCACCAAACTTCTTTGAGCTACAGTTTCCTCATCTGTAAAATCAGGATAATAATTCCTGCATGTTCTGAGGAACCAAGGAGCAAATGCATGTAAAGATTCTCTATAAGCCGTAAGCCAGTATTTCCCAAATATTGTAAGCCGTAAAACAGTATTTCTCTGTGTCTGCAGAACCCTGCTCTCCAGAGAGATGTCCATAAGTCATTTAGGGGGGAAAAAAAGAAAAGTTTTATGTCAAATTTGAGGAAGACTGGCCTAGACATAGTGAACCTGGTTTCCTTACTCTTCAACTTCTCCGAGACCTTAATTTGCCAGTGTGCATGGCGAATTTCCAAGAGCAGGGCACAAAATAGGGCTTTGTCTGAAAACCACTTTTTTCATGGACCGCCTGTGAACATCTTTCAGGTTACTGGTTTCCACAGAGCACGGAATCTATTATTTCTCCTATCAATAATCATGCTAATCTTTTCATAAGATTTATTCCACCATCCAGGTCACTAATCCTGGGTAATACCAGTTCATCAGCATCTGAAAAAGTATTGCTGGGGCTATTTTCATCTTCCAGGCATTATGCTCTTGCTATGGGGGAGAGAGGACCCACCACTGAAGGCCTCTGCCTTCGGACTCCAGCCCTAACTCCCAACATCCCCTTACTGGACCCGGCCCCTGCAGCTTGGCAAACCCATTGTCCTATGTGCACATTTTTTGTGTCCCGGCCCTCGCCTCTGTCCCATCCTTCCCCCTGCCAAAGTGCCTCTCTCCCTCCCATCTCTACCAAGACAGTTGTAACCCATTCTTCAAGTCCTGGCCCAAGCCCTGACTTCTCCACGGACATTTTTCCAACTAATGCAGCGTATTCTAGACAGAAATACTGTCTCCTCAACTCAACTCTAAGCCCTGAATGGTAGAGAGTATTATTTACGCTTTCTGATTTTTTCCAGAAACCAGGATGCCTTTGTGGGCAGACTGATTGCTGTCCTCCTCCCTCCAGAAACCATAAGCCACACAGTTGTTCTTTGAGAACTTGAACCTCCACTGAGCAGGGGTCTTTCAGAGATGGGAGTCAGTCGTGGATTTGATCCCTTCATTCAATGCAAACTTATTGCAAGGGAACTGGTGGAAACCCAAGGCTGAATAAGACAAGGTCCCTGCCTTTAAGGAGTTCTGGGTCTAGACAAGAGTGTAAATACATTTTGGCAAGTCAGCGCGTTGAATGTGATAATAAAAAAAAATGTGAGAACACAAGCTAGGGTTCGTGGAGAGGGCAGTTTCCTATCCTTCTACTTGTAGAGAGGGTGTCACGTGGGGCAGACATGGCAAGATTATAGAGTCTGCTCTAGGGTGGGAGGGGGATCAAGTGTGTTCCTTGGGTCACAGGGAGGAAGGTCTCTGTGGAGCTAAAAGGTTATGGAAGTTGCTGGAAGGGGGCGTGAGATGGGAGTTTTGCATCCTACTTTACACACACACACGCACGCACACACACACAGTCTGTGGGAATCCCACTTCCCTGCTTTTCCATCATACCCTCTCACCCCTTCTTCCTTCTCACTTTGACTCATCCTTCCTCTCCTCCTCTGCCACCTCCCAGTCCCGGGGCCATCCATCGTCGCCTCATCGAACAGCCCCGTGTCTGCTGTCAGTAGCTAGAGGCCCGCTTTGGCAAGAGGCCGGTCAGCACCATGCCCACTCCCCATGGGGGGGGCCCTCAGGAGGGAAGTCAGCCCGGACTCAGTGCTTTCTCTTTTCTCCCCACAGAAAACCAAAAGAGACGTCAATAACTTTGACCAAGACTTTACCCGGGAAGAGCCGGTACTCACTCTAGTGGACGAAGCGATTGTGAAGCAGATCAACCAGGAAGAATTCAAAGGCTTCTCCTACTTTGGTGAAGACCTGATGCCCTGAGTAGCCTCTCTGGGTGGAGTTTGCTGTTGCTGCGATCAGGGTTTCCAAGACGATTCCTGGGTTGCAGAGGCTCAGAAGGTCTTGAACTACTCCTCTCCCCGGAGCCCCCACCCCACGTCCACTGTCTATTTATTGTATCCCCCTCCCCCAGGCCACCTCCTCCCGCTCCCACCTGGTGACCAGAAGGCACTCTCGGTTCTCGTCTTACCAGTAGTATAGACTGGTTGGGACCAGGTAGGACTGCTGTCAAGCCTGGGTCCACTCCTCAGGGGCTCCTGGCAGGGAAGCAACTTCAGTTCTTTTACCACAACAAACAACGACAATAAAAAGGAAGCAAACAAGAAGACTCTGGCTCTGCTATGGGACATAGAATCCTGACCCCTCTGCGTCTCTCTTCCCTCCTACACCCTGCCCTGGCTTGCCACCCCTGCCCTTCTGTCCAGGACAAGAGACCGGTGCTTCTTCCGCAGAGGGTGGGCACCTTCGAGGTGTGCCATGTGAGGGAGGGAGACTGGAGATGCACGGGCTGGCTGACTGGCTGTGTTGGTTTGTTCTGGAATGGCTAACTCTTGCCTGCTTTGGTTCTAACTTCGGAGCATGCCAAAGTCGTGTAAGCTTGTATCTCGTGGAAGAAATCCTCTTTGTGGAAAAAGAAATGGGATTTTGAACTCTACGAACATTTGGAAAATATAGTCTCAAATTTGCTTTCCAATTGGCCAAGAGATATAAATTCTGATCTGAACACAGGTAGATACTAAAGGGCTAATTACAACGAGAAACCAGTCGTTGGAGGTTGAGGCTGTCACTACCCGAGGGCTATATGAATTGAGAGAAAAGGGAACAAGTAGTGCACCTCGCTATTAAAGCTCTACCTGAACACAAAGGCCACCGTGGCGATGGCCATGACCCTGGGGTTCTAGCAAAACTCAGCTCCCAAATTCTCTTTCCAGTTTCATCCTAAGTTCCTAGCATATGCGCTGTTTATTTTCTGCAACAGTGTGTTCTTTTCTGCGCACTTGTACAAAATGGTAGTACTACTGTGTCGTGGTTTTTAAACATTAAACATGTTGTATATGAAATACCTGCTTTCGGAATAAGCAGAATGAGCTACACGTGGCTTCTGCAGAGGGGATCGGAAGACTGAAGAGCAACTTGTTTGAAAACTGACAGCGTGGCACGATGTACTCGGAGTGCTGTTTCTGTGTGAACTGCGGTGGAAACTCACGTGGACACTATTTAAGGGATGTGATGTTACCTCCTGTAGATATGCTAACAGTGTTACATTCTTTGATTTCCAAGGGTTCTCTGTGGCTTTGTGTATATGTTTCCCGGAGGTCATTTGATTACCTATCTTACTGAACTGATTTTTAGCAGGAATGGAATCCATTCCAACTATTGCACGAAGATTTCCCAGCTGCCCCTAAATATATATACTTGTGAGTGGCAAAGTGGCACCAATGACGCTTTTTGCCTTTTGTACATTTGAGATTTTTGTATATAGTGTTTGCTGCAAGGCCTGTGGAATTAATTCATTGAATATAGAGGTATCAACTGCTGCATGTTCAGGCATATTATAAAACTTTAGTCTATGAAAGAATAATTATAATAATGACCAGGTGCAATACTCTGTATGTGTATTGGTTCAAGTTACCGAGAGATAGGTATGTTCCTTTTCTGGGGGGAGGGAGGGGAGCTTCTTTGTATCGTTCATTTCATTTTGGTTTATTTTAAAAGAGTCAACATGTATTAAGCTATATTAAATCTCACATACAGTCCTCCTGAGCTCTGTTATGCCCTGATAGAGATGGAGGAGAGAAAGGAATGTTTTTGATGGTGGTTCCAAAGCTTGGACATTGACTGTCCTGAGCCCACGGAGAGTTTGTGTCCATATTTGCATCTGACTGGTGATAGCCTTTGTTATTAACAATAACATTCAATTCTCTTTTGTTTTTATTTTTTTAAAAACTCAGGTGTAATTATTATCTGTTCTTATGATAATTGAAAATATTAAATATTATGCTATATGAGTTCATGTGTTTGGCATACCAGTGAAATGATGAAGAACATTAGATTAATTTAATTTATCTTCGGTAACTTGACGTGCTAGGGAGCGACTATCTTCTGGAGTTGAGTACAAGCACAGAAACATCTTCATGGTGGCATCATCTCATTTTTTAGGAAGACATGACAATACTGCCCGTCATACTCATGTGTAACTACTGCTGTCTCTTTTTCTTGTTTTCTTTTCGTCGCTATGAACTTTGGACAACCAAGTAAGCTCTAACTGCAATGCCAAATGTCCTTGTCCAAGGCGTTGGTGGTGGTCACATGGTGGCTGGGGTTGGTTGGGCCTTTCCTGCAGGACAACTGATGATTTTGCTGGGAAGTCAAAGAATACATTCCACCCAGCAGTTCTAGGCAGTCTGCCTGGCCCAGAGAGGCCCCTGTCAGCACCCAGAGCCAGGCTTGCTGGGATACCTCCGGCTGATGAAATTCTCACATAGGCTGATTTCAGTCCAGTGTGGGTCTACAGAAAAACGCTTGTGTGTTCCTTGAGTAATGATTGTTTCATTTTCATTTTCACAAGAGTTTGGAAGCAGACACACTGTTACACTTCTGCCAATTCTTTCTAATCTTTCCAGCCACCCTCCCACTCTTTGTTTTTCTCAAGAAAAATTTAAAAATGGAATGCAAAAAAATGCCAAAAATTATATGAAGGATAGCAGTTTTCCTGTGTTCTCTCATTATGGACTTTGTGAAATGGAAATATAATTATTCCTTCCAAAGGTGAAAAACAACGCATTCTTGCTTTAAAAAAAAAAAAAAAAAAAAAAAGAAGGCTAAAAAAATTACCTCTTTAAAAATTATGTGCAAAATAATTCTGGCTAAACATAAAAACGTATTCAGTTTTAGGGATTTTTTTTGTATTGTGATGCTTTATTTGTACATTTTTTTTTCCTCTCTGGATGTAATTTTAATCTCTTGCCATTCATTAGTGTTATTTCATTGTAAACATTATTGTGCCAAATGTACTGTATTCAAAAGGATGTGAATGTGTATTGTTTGAGAACCTAATAAATACAATGACGTTAAGTCTTATTTCTCAGTTTCAGTGAGGATATTTTATCTCCTTTCTGGGTGGCAAAGTGGCACTAAGAAAGCTTTTTGCCTTTTGCACATTAGCGATTTCAAAATTCAAAACCTAGACAGAGTCAGCTGTCCCCTTCTCCTTAAAAGATGCACAGAGGCTGGAAAGTACTTTCAGACTCCTTGCTCGCCTTACCCCTGTGCTTCTGGGACTGGTAGAAGGGATAAGAGAGGCCCGTGCAGACTGAATGTGGCACTCGGTTGCCATGAGTGCTGGGAGATGGGCGAGGAAACAGGTGGCACCTGCATTTTTGTCTTTCCAGAGAAGCAAATACTAGACCTCCTTGCAACCAATGACCCTTCAGGCCTCCTTGGGACTCAGTTTCTGGCCTGCTGCTCAGACCTTCAGGCATTTGGGAGCCAGGGAACCCCTCCCAGACCAGGAACCTCTTGTGGGGAGTGCACAGAAGCAGAGACGAGCCCGGAGTGCATGCTGGCCTGTGGGGCTCCAAGATTAGCTTGCGCTGGCCTTCCCAGCTCAGCTGACATCTGCACCTATCCTGGTGACTCCTAGGCTCTTGCGGTGTCTCCTTCACTCCGGGGCTCCTTTCCCACATTCCACTCCTGTTGCCCTGGTTCTGCAAGCCTCCTCCTCTCCTTTCTCTAACACGGATTTTTCAAGCGTGTTTGAAGCTCAAAAGTACACTCTTGAGTACACTGGAAATTTCAGTTGACCTAAACTCCCTGTTCCATAACAGTGATGAAAATGATTACAATTTTACTATTTGTCATCCTCAGGTAAGGGCATGGCCTAACATATCACCCTTTCAGCCCACAAAATAAGCCCTCTGTTGTTTTGTATAAGCCCTCCAGTGACTGGCCTGTCACCCCGGAAAGCCTCTCCTCTCCCGGCTTTTTTCCCTCTCAGCAGCATCGCCTGCCTACCTGGAGACGTAAGCATGAATTTCCAGACCCAGCCCAAGAAGGTTGTGTTTACCACATACTTTCCTCTCTGATTCAGGCCGCTATTTCTAGGTAAGTGACCACCCACTGAGAAGCAAGCTTCCCACCAGCTTGTCTGTCTTATCATGCATTAAAATTAGGAGAAACATCAAATGCTTAGAAGCAAAAGGTAGAATGGTGGTTTCCAGAAACTGGGGGGAATCGGGAGATATTGGTCAAGGGGTACAAAGTTAGGATAAATACTGCATGGCAGGTGACTATGGTTAGTAATCATGTATAATTAAAAATTTCTGAGAGGAGATCTTAAATGTTCTTACCACAACAAATAATAAGTAGAGGAGGTATGGATATGTCAATTAGCCGATTTAATCAATCATACACATATCCAAACATCACATACGCCATAACTATATACAGTTTGTATTTATCAATGATAACTTAATAAGGCTTAAAAATATCAGGAGAAACAAATAAAAAGGAGTTACTCAAGGAAGTTCAGAAGCCATCCTCAGACGTTTCACTGAGTGGAAATATGTCCAGTCTGCATGTCCTTTGCCTCGAGCCCTGGACGTGCACAGCTCTAAAGTCCTGGAGATGACGGGGACTCATTCTCTCAAATCTACGTGCTCCCCAAATCACGTCGAAGCAGTAAGAAAGGTCAACTGCTGTCCGTATGCCTGGTTTGGAATCTCCGCTTCCCTCCCAACCACATTCTGGGAGAGAAAGCCACGTGCAGGCAGGCCTGCTCTAGGGTGTCAGCAGTAGCAACCACTTACTCGGAGTCGCAGGTGATAAAAGAACCTGTCCGAGTCAGATCAGAGTAAAGAGGGACAGGTTTACTGAGTACACTGCAAGGGAGCAGTGGGCAGGGCAGTGGCAGAAGGGCTGTCTGTCCAGAGCCAGCTGTTTGAGGTTGTTTTTAACACAGGAGCTGGCCTCTTTTGGATTCCTGCCATGCAAATGAGGGATTGAAACATGGCCGTTCTGATTGGTTGGTGTTCGTGGGGTTTTTTTGCCATGCAAATAAGGGATTGAAACATGGAAGTTCTGATTGGTGCATTTCATCTTTGATTTAGGTGCACATTGGTCAGCTGGAGGTTAACACAAGGTGGCTCTTGTCATATAAATGGCTTCTACAGAGGGGAAAGGCTCCTGGCAAGGTTCAGAGGGCGTTGGGGCTGCCCAGGAGAGTCTGTCACTATAATTGGACCCTGAACTGAAAAGCAACCAGTCTGGCTGATTTCTTGCAGAGGGAATCTATGGGAAGATTGTCTCTTCTCTATTTCCTCATACCTAGTTCAGTTTAGCGCTTGGCCTGCCCTCAGCCTGAAGACCTCCATGTAACTCAATCTCAGAAGCATGGGCATGTGTGAAAATATACCTTAAAAAGCCACATTAGGAAGTGTTTTCTACTTTAAAGTACTTCAGCCCAGACAATATTACATTGGTTGTATGTTCATTTTAAACTATTAAAGGGTGATCAGCTGTCCTACTTGAAAATATACCCTTCAGGGAGTGACATGGGTTGAATAAATTGTATTTCTTAGAAAGCTAGTACAAGTGCTTGGCTCTCTTAGTTTCCAAAAAGGTTTTGATATTAGTATAAAGAATGCTAGAAAATTATTTTCTCAAGGTGGTTTTTTAATTAGCATAAAGGATATTAGAAAGGTGACACTCGTGATGTTGGAGATAATTAGATTGGCAGAGGTATTTTAAAACAAGTCTCCACATTAAAAAAAAAAAAAAAAAAGCAGAATACAAGAACCCAGAGAGTTTTCAACTTCCCTAATAGTAAGGGAAATGCAAATTTAAATCAAACTGCAATACCACTTCACACCCACCAGAATGACTGAATGAATAAGGCAAACATAAGATGTGGAACAATGGAAACTTTCCATGTTTCTGGTTTGAGTAATAAAATGGTGCTAGGACTTTGAAAAGCTTTGGTAGTAGCTACTAAAGCCAAATTGCATACCTTTGACCCAAGAGAAAAGTCTATCCACTGTAAAAAGGGTAAATGAATTGTGAAATAGTCACACAGTGGAACACTGTAGAGCCATGAAGAAATGATTTACAACTCCATAGATGAATCTCCCAACATAAGGTTGCGTGAAGGATGCCAGGCAGAAAGTCATAACACCATGATTCTATGAATCTATGCTCTTAGAAATCAGGCTAGTATTTAATCTTGTGGGGAAGCAAGGTCATCAGTGGTGGGGGAGGGCAAAAGGCCTTCTAGGGTGCTAGTTACATTTTGTTTTCTGAAGTAGGAGCTGGCAAACAGGTGGGTTCACTTTGTGATACATCACTGAGCTGTATCTTTAAGATCTATGCACTTCTCTGTATGTTTGTTATATTTCAGTTTAAAAATGACTCCCAGGGTTGAGTGTCATGGCTCATACCAGTAATCCCAGCATTTTGTGAGGCCAAGGCAGGAGGATCACTTGAGCCCAGGAGTTCAAGACCAAACCGGGCAAAATAGTCTCTACAAAAAAAATCAAAAAGTTAGCTGGGTGTGGTGGTGCACACCTATAGTCCCAAATACTTGGGAGGCTGAGGCTCCGGGAGCCTAGGTGGTCGAGGCTGCAATGAGCCATGATTGTGCCACTACACTCCCGCTTGGGTGATTGGAGTGAGACTCCAACTCAAAAAAAAAATTACTCCCCCAAATCTGGGATGACCTTTATCTTTTGCCCTTGGGGACAGCCCCTAGGTTGAGCCCACAAACGGCCTGTGTCTCCTGCTGTCTTGGAGATGTCTTGGTTGTCTGACACCCATAGACAGCCTGATCCTGAGGGGAACAGAATCACGTGTGCCTCCGAGACCTTGCCTGTGAGGCACTACGCGATCAGAAACGTTCAGAAGGAGAGAGCTGGGACTCGGAGGAGCTTTTGGAGTAGCCACAAGACTCTTCTGTGCATGACAGGTCATGAAATGTCTGTAGACGTCTCCAAGTATGGCCTGAGGGGTCATTCTGGAGTAGCCACACCTCCCTTTCTCACGGCTTTGGCGGTCTACTAAAAGGAAGCCAGGGTGTGCATCACAAAATTGACTGAGGGGGCTCTTTCCCCTTGGACAGGTAACTAGACCTTTCTAAACCTGCATCCATATTTGTAAAATGGTGATACTAAGACCTACTAGGCCTGTTGTGAAACATCAGCGAGGTCAAAAGTCCCAAGGCAGAATGTCCCGTCCTATTATTTGTATTCTTCCCCTGAAACCCCCTCGTCCTCACCTCTTGCTCAGAGTGCAGGTTGCACCACGGGGAAGATTGGCTTGGTGTAACTAGGGAAGTTTTGCTTTTCTCTCTGTTTTCCCTCATCCTTCAGATGTCTTGCTCCTCATTACTCCCTAATGACACACCCCAGCAGGAAAGGACCCTCTCTTGGGTTGGAAGGGAGCTCAAGCATTCAAGATGAGGTCCTGGTCCTCAGTGAACTTACAACCAGCTTGAGACAAGACAGGCCCGATGGAGGAGAACAGTGTAAGGCAGACAGAGAAAGCCAGCCCTGTAGGTGCTACCAGGAAAGTCCAGAGAAGAGGATTATATTTGCCTCATCAAGGCAGGCTTCCTGGAGGAGGCTGTGCTGAGAGGACCCTGAAGGATAAGGAGGATGTGGATAGGCAAAGGACAGGGAAGGCCCTTGCAGGTGACCATGGAAGAGCTGAGAGCTTGGAGGTCTTGAGTTCCAAGGCCTTCAACTTCATTTCTCAACATGAGATTGTCAAGGTTTTGCAGGTGGGAAAGTCTGTGAGAGTCCAACCCACCCTTCAATAAAGGCACCTTTGTCTTTGTGTTTGATGGGAGATTTCATGGGTCGCTGCTTACTCTGCCTTGAGTCTGGCGAATGCTGCCTGAGGCTTGAGAGCAGACCAGCCTTAGCTTTTGGACCCACAAGCTGGTGAACAGTTACACACCTCCCTGCCTCTCAGGCCCTAGTGCACAGTGGAGCAGGCACCACCCGCTGGCTATTCTGGAAGGCTCTGGAAAGGCTGCCTTCCTGGGCATCAACTGTAGAAACCACCATTCACGCTTCCTTCTTGAGGTT